CCACGCAGGGTCCTGCTTGGTTTCATTTTTACTTACCTTTTTCTCTTCATGCTACTTGGATTTGTTGACAATCGAGGGTTAATGTCAGCTACGTTATTATCATTGTTGTTATATTTTCCAGAGATACTGGAAATTTCAAAGAAAACTTGCAGCCCTGCTATTTGATCTCTTGAAGGAGGGTGGGAGGGGTTGAGTCAGAAAGAGGTACTAAGTAATGCTAAATAATTTAACCCTGAGATATGTAACTGTATCACTTTGATTTGGAATTTTAGAGAAGGTAGAACTGGAGGCATTTTTTGATTCAATCCCCGCTTTTGAGAGTTGAATAGAATGAGACCCAGAGATATCAGTTTACATCTTCCAAGCCTACAGCTAGCCTGGAGCAATTATGACTCATTCATCCATTCAACAGCTGTTTGAGGCCTTGAGCACGGAAAGAAAGAAAATATATTCATAGCCCATTTTATATGGAATTAGATGATTAGTTTTCTTAGTTATTTTGCATTTTTCTTAAAAGTCATAAACTAAATAATAAACTAAATAATCATGTCTCTTTGCTGAAAAAATAAATACAGAAATAAATAAAAGTTTATTACTTTTGACAAAGAATCCATTAGGTACATGATATTTTGAAAAATACAACTAATACTAAATATTGCTCTAAAACAGATGAATTAATGTAAAAAATTAAATATTATTTAATTTTCTTGAGTGTGATCTGACCTATGTATAGTGCCAGGTCACAAAGTTCAGGTGGAGAGAACAGACGCAGAGCATCTCCAAAGGACAGATGGGACTTCTATTCATGTCTCTTACTTTTGAGATTTATCTTTTTTTGATCCAGTCTTTCAAAGCTAGACATCTTGGACATTTAGAGATAAGCAGATCAGACCCAGTTTTAGAAGTGCTCTAAACTCTACTGAATATACAAAATAAGTCTCTTCCAGTTCTAAAATTCTGTCAAAGTGTTATTTGACTGAGTAGTTTAGATTGGACAAATGACTTAAAAACTATTTTTGTTTCTCTTTTTTGTACTTCCAAAAACACCTTACAAGATACCTTATTACCTTCTCCCTGCTCTTTCAAAGGAGATAAGAGATGCCAGCAGGAAGGTTGGGGCTTGCAATGGAAAATAACAAGAAAAGATAAACTCTGCCGTTCTTAGGAAATATGTTGGCCCTCAGGGAACTTCCTGTACTCTAAGAGTGTGAGCTGTGGAGACAACACAGCATGCAGTCGACACAATGCCCCGGATCCCTCTGGTGGAAAAAATGCGTTTCCTGTTTCCAGTCCTGGCTGCATGAAGTCCTACTTTTTAGTCAGACTTCTGTGTCTCGTGTTCCACTATTCAGAACTGCGTTTTTACTAACATTTATTCCTGCATTTCCTGGAGTGTTAAAATTTATTTAAAAAATCTGAACTGAGGGTAGTTTCTGGGCCATGTTAACAAATACTCTGTGAGCTGGGACACTGAAGAATTAATGAAAAACAGGGATTAATAGCATTACCGTGAAAAAACTGTAAAATCTATCAAAGGGCAAATTTGAAACTTCGACATTGAAAACTCGAAAGTCAAGTTTTTTTCCTGTTTTTAAAGGTAGCTGGTTTTGACCTACTTCAAAATACAAGTATTTGGTAGAGCTAGAATTGTGTGATTGAATTCCAGTGACACCATGAGAAATGTCATTGAGGCAAAGAAAGAAGATTATAAAAATATTGGCAAATGTCGAAACTGAAAAGAAAATTTATGAAATCCAAGAGTTTCATGGCTAGTGAATCAGTGTTCAATTTATATTCATACAATATATGCCACTTAAAGTAGGAAGCCTTTTTAGGGTAGTGAGGTAGATGTTCTGCACGACTCAGTATTGCTGTCTTTTATCTTTTTTCATCTGGCTGAACAATGTGAAAAATAGATGCATGTAAATAATGTTAGAAAATATGCAATGATGTGCCAGTGTAAAATGTCTCAGTGTTTGATTTCCATTCTCAGTCAGACTTCAAGCCCATTGACTTTGCAGATTTCAGTGTGGCTGGACCAGGATGACACTGGTCTAGGGGTCTGGTTGATCTAACTGTGGTACCTCCTCCCAGTGAAATGCTGTGCTACTGAGCTCTCTTGGTACCAATATAGAAAGAAATTAAAAAAAAATACTGTTAAAAGGAAAGAACAAGTTGCAGAACAGTGTACCTTGAATTTTTTTGTAAGGTAAGGGAAAATAAGATTATAATATGTGTATTTGTACATCTAAAAGGAAATGCTGGAAGAATAAATAATAAAGTAATAGAAGATGTTACCTGTGAGGAGAGAGACGGAGGTTGAGGTAGACAGGAACATGGAGCGGACTGAGATGTCTCAACGTCTGTCTTTTTATATCATTTGACTTTTGAAGTAAGAATATATTGCCTATAAAAAACTAAAATTTAAAAATATGTAGCTATTATATGCACACGTTTGAGGAATTGACAGTACTCATCCAATATTGCCCAGTATTTGGGGGCACTAGTCAATTACATTCCACTGAACATAGCTACTTTTTTTTTTAATTGAAGAATTGTCAATTACAGTGTGTCAGTCTCTGGTGTACAGTATAATGAACACAACGTTTTATTTCTATGGACAGAAATAATTTGCATTCAAGTTTCTTTTATATTCCTATTGAGAAGAATCATTTGCATTATTGCAGAAGTAGCTTTTCATTATCCATAACTTGTTAATTAATTTAAAGATAACTTCTTAATATGTTTATCATCTAGAATTTAAAAGATTATCATGATGTCCCTAAAATTTATTTATTTATAAGATTTCATTTACTGTTGCCACAATCAATGCTAGGTTTTGTATAAGGAAAAGGTAAAGTTTTTTTTTAATTTATGTATCTTTATTAAAAAATATTGTTTAAAGTGCTACATTAAAGTTATAAGTGGAACTAGTTTTCTCAACTCTGTTCCATTTATTCTAGTGTAAGGCCTTGACTACAAACCAAAATTGGGTGAGGTAGAGTTGGACTTAACTTCGAATTAAATTCAGTAAATGTTTATTGACTACCTACTTGCTATGTACTGTTTTAGGCACTTATAATTCAACAGAAAACAAGAACAAGAATGACACCTGCCCATATAAAGTAAAATTTTAGTTGAGGTGGGTGGGAAGCAAGAAATAAATATAACAAGTAGGTAAATTATATAGTGTTAATTTATTAAGTACTGTTAAAAACTAACTTTTTAAAATTGAAGATAAAATAAGATCTTCTGCACATATAAAATGAGCATCTGTCAAAGATTTTTTTTAACTCACTGATTGATGAGGAAACCAGTAAGATGGCATAACTGGTTCAAAGGAGAAATAAAAGTATCACATGTTTATATTTAGCAAAACATACACTGAAATAAATTTGCAAATAAGTAGGAAAACTAGTCAGTATTTACAGGGCACTAGTCAATTACAGTCCACTGAACACAGCTACTTTTTATTTCTATAGACAAAAATCATTTGCATTCAATTTTCTCTTATACTCTTATCAACAAAAATCATTTTCATTATTGTTAGGTTTTTATTGCATTTCTACGGATAAGAATGCATTATTTCAGTGTTCTGTAGTCAAAGGAGTTATAAAATAGAGTTGCTGTAACTTCTGCAAGTAAAAGGACTTTCTCTATCAACAAGTTTTAATTGTTATGGCTCATTCCAGTGATAACAAAATAAAGTATCAATGGCACCACGTTTAGAAGACCTAGTTTCTTTGTTGCCTTGGAAACAGTTTTGACTAGTTACTGTGAAAATAATGTACCACTATTTATGATATTCTACTTATCCTCAGGAAGTAGCTAGCTAATAAATCTTTTTTTTTTCCACTGGTTTGGGTATTTTAAAATTTTTCTTTCTATCTTTCTTTTTTTTTTTTTTTTGTCTACTTGTTTTGTAATCAAAAGTCTGGATCTGGAGTTTTTGGTAAAACTTAAAATGCTTAATTCTCTTTGCTTATTTGCTTTGCCAATTTATTCATGAAAGTTCTTTTTATGTCTCAGATGCTGGGAACTTAGTGCTGGAGACAAGTGGATTTATCAAGCCCCAATCTTAGCAGCTATCGGGGTAAGTTTAAAAGCCTATATAGTTTTTTTAGAAAAAGAAAAAAGGATGCATAATTAAATTGCTGCTAAAGCCTAGAGAAAGTATACTTGTCACTTTGTTCTACAAAGGTTTAGGAATGCTCACATTACAGCAGTAGCTGTTGGGAGACCCTTATTTGTGGCTGACTCTAAGACCCATTAAGAAAGCACATACCTTCCCTTTAATCAGATAGCGTGTGGAGGCAATACTAGGACTTCAAAATATCTTTGAATGTTTACAGGTTCAAGCAGTTGGGAGGTCCTGAAACTCATCCCCCTTTTCAGCCATTGTTTTATAATATTCTGATCACCAGATAGTAGATCAGGAGGAGGAGACAAAGATGGAATACCAGGAGAACTGAGGAGTTACTGAGAGAGAAAAATGATAGTCTGATTTATTATACAGCACTGCCTAAAGCTTTTATTTGGCGTACTTTCGTTACTGAGTCCAAACTTGTTCTGCTTGTTGCATGACAGGCCAATAAATCAGGAGACGAGGTGTTGGGGTAAGGAACAATGATTTTATTTGAAAAGCCAGCAGACTGAGAAGATGGCAGACTAATGTCCTGGAGAACCAACTTAACCCAAGTCGAATTCAGGTTCCTTTTGTACTAAAAATAAGAGGGGATGTGGTTAGTTGTTGCAGATTTCTTGGTGTCAGAATCCTTTGTTCTTGCAGCTGTCCAGTGGGTCAGGTCATGGTGTCCCTGCAAACCTCCAACAGGACAAATGTTATTCTCTCTTTTGCAGCTTTTTATCTTTATATGAATGGGAAAGTGTTATACTCTTAAAGGTCAGAGGCTTGAGATCGGCTATCCTGTATATTTCAGGCTCTAGGCAACATTCTTTTACATAAGGTACAGAACCAGCAGGACTAAGCCCAGGAAACAGAGCACAGGGTTACAGCTAAAGGAGCAGATCTAATATGGAGTCAGATTCGTTCTTCCCTTTATACTTTCTCCAAGGAGTTAAGAGGATTCCATACTGACACATATCCTGTGGATCAGCTCTAGCAGATAAATAAAGAAAACGACTAGAGTTGGCAATCACATTGCATGGGACCTTAACTGCCTGTAATATTTCAACTACATACCACATCTGTGTTATAAAAAGACTCCAAATTTTTACACTTCTTTGTGTCTAACAAAACTCACCAAAATGTTTACTCTTGACCTTCCTTGAAGACTTTATGGCATTAGCTTCTCTATAGTTTGATGAAGAAATTATACCACTTGTGTTTTCCTGGTTTTCATGTATTAACACAAGATTACAAACATCTTACAAAAAAGGACTGATGTCCCAATATTAAGTGTTACATCATATGAAAGTAATTCAGCTGCCTGATTTTTAACCAGGTTTGTTCATTTGTCTTTCTTTGTCCTCCAGTTTCTTACTTTTCTCATTTGGTTTCTTTCGGACAAAGTGTCACCCAGTGTGTCAGCAGGTTGGCATGCTGGATCCAGGAGGACAGTTCCGATGTGGTTGAGGTTGTGTTGAGGCTCCATCTAAACAGTCAGATGACAGCTTATTTACCTCATAGGAAAAATGTAGAAAGCAAAATGGAAGAGATCAGAAAGGAGCCTTCATTCCAGAAGCTCACTGATGTAAATGTTTAGAGGGGAAAATAAAATACAGGCATTTTTAGAGAAGCTACCCTTGCTAAAACAGCCTGTTACCAAATTAGACCGGACTCTCTTAGGAGAAGCCCCAAAATGGATTGTGGTTAAATGAATGAGTGACTTCACTGTAGAAACTCTTACCATTTTAATTTTGATGAAAGGCTGCTGTATTAATCTAGTGAGAGATCATTCCATCAAACCTAGTGATAAACTGTCTCCCTGAGAGAATATCAATCAACTTAAAGATGAAAATTAGCTTCATAAATTAACTGATGTTTGCTACTCTGATTTCCCTTTTATCCACTGATTCTCTATCCTTTTCTACATTTCCAAGCCTTTAATTTCCCTTTCTTTTTGTTCCTCCTCTATTATGTTTGCTTTTCCATCTCTTACCACCATCTTTTAAAAAGGGTAACCCATGTATTACTACTTTTTGTATCTTCAGTGCCTTGTACCAGAATTAATAAATAAAAGATACTCAAATATTACAAAAATGTATGAAAATTTAAGAACATTAAATTAGAGTTAGTAACAGTAAAGTTATGTGATTGTAGAGGTTCTGAAAGAGTCTCCATTGGTGAAGAGCCAGAAATGATGGTTCAGTAAACTGAGGGAAACTTAGGTGGGATGCCATTTTCATCTTCTAGAACTAAGATTAGGAGCGCTGCAAAGCAAGACTTCTTAAGTATTTTTCCAATATTACAACATCCATTTAATCTCAAAAACCAGAGAAAAGATTCAAGAGCACCTTTCTGTTCACTTAAAGTTACCTTTTTGTTTCTTTGTTACAATTCAGGGTTATCCCCGATCCTATGAAAGTTTCCTCATTTTACCGTAGAGCCAGCCTGCATGGGAAGAGGGGCACCGGGACCCGAGTCTCAAGCGCTCTGGGCGGGTGCTCCTTCCTCTGAGCTGTACTGTGTCCTGAAGCCAGGAAGAATGAACTTAATACTGATGACATACACAGCAAAGTGCCTACTACGACTGGGCACTGTCATAAACACTTCATTTACGTTGATTTGTCAAATCCTCCAAATAACTCGAAATGAGGAAACTGCCCAAGGTCACTCAGCTAGTAAGGGGTGGAGCTGGAATTCTAACTTCAGAGTCAGCGTTCCTACCTAATGAGCTCCCGCACTTACAGTAAAAGCCAACATCCCTGGTAGTCCAGAGGAGACTGTCACTCATGCGCACATCCCTTTATATGCCGTGCCTTCGCCTCATTGTTTCCCTTTCAGTTCCTTGAACTTGTCCATGTCCGCCCCTCTCAGGACTGTTCTTATTTTGCACTAGACCCCTGGAAGGCTAGGATATGCTGCCTTCTACTCATTACTGAAAAAAAATTGTTCAGTTGAAATATGGTTGATATACAACGTTGTGTTAGTTTCAGGTGTACAGCAAAGTGATTCAGTTATACATACATATATATATATATTTTTTCAGATTCCTTTTCATTACAGGTAATTACAAGATATTGAATATAGTTCTCTGTGCTGTACAGTAGGTCCTTGTTGTTTATCTGTTTTATATATAGTAGTGTTTATCTGCTAATCCAAAACTCCTAATTTATCCACTCCTTCCCCTTTGTTAACCATAGTTTGTTTTTTATGTCTGTTTTATAAATAAGTTTATTTGTAGTATTTTTTTTTAGATTCCACATGTAAGTGATATAATATGATATTTGCCTTTTCCTGTCTAACTTACTTCACTTAATAAAATAATCTCTAGGTCCATCCATTTCTACTCTTCATTTTTTCTCCATTCTCAAATGTTATTTTATTTATTTATTTTTATTATGTATTTTTATTGAAGTATAGTTGATTCACAATATTATGTTAGTTTCTGGTGTACAACATAGTGATTCAGTTATACACACATATACATTCTTTTTCAGATTCTTTTTCATTATAGGTTATTAGAAGTTATTGAATATAGTTCCCTGTGCTATACAGTAGGACTTTGTTGTTTACCTATTTTGTATATAATAGTTTGTATCTGCTAATTCCAACTCCTAATCTATCCTTCCCCCTGCCTTTCCCCTTTGGTAACCACAAGTTTGTTTTCTATGCCTGTGAATCTGTTTCTATTTTGTAAATAAGATCGTTTGTGTCATTTTCTTAGATTCCACATAAAAGCGATAACATATGAGGTTTGTCTTTCTCTGTCTTTCTTCCCTTAGGATGACAATCTCTGGGTCCTTCCACTTCTACCTCTCACTTTACATGTCATTTCGTGGTGGCTTCCTTGATGCCCCCTATCTAAATTAGGTCACCTATTGTAACCCACAGAGCAGTGACTTTTCTTCCTTCTCACGATCATCATAAAGTATAATGTTTCTGATTGTTGAATGTCCATCTTGCCCACTAAACTGCCAGGTGTATGTGAATAAGAGCCATATTTCCCCTAAATTTCCATATTCTAGTGCCTACCAATTTTCCTGGCACGTAGTGTCCACTCAACAAACCCTTTCTGTAAAAATAAAACATGTATATAAAGTAAATATTCTGGCGATTGCTAAGAGGGAGAAAGTGAAATGAGAGCATAAAGCAAGTATAATTACAAAAATTTTTAGTCCATTTCATGCAACCTTTTTATTTTCTAGAGAAGGAAACTAAAGCCCACACTGATGAAGGCCACATAGCCAGTGCGACACAACAAAGACTAACCTGCATTTTTGACTGTGTTCTTTTCACTTGCATTCAGAACATGTCAAAATTGTTTCTTGAAGTTATGGGAAAATAACCTTT